CTTGGTAGCCCAGGCTGGCCTCGAACTCACAGAGATCCGCCTGCCTCTGCCTCCCGAGTGCTGGGATTAAAGGCATGCGCCACCACTGCCCGGCTTGATTTATTCTTGAAACAATGATTTAAAAACAAAAAACAAAAAAATGACACAGGGCTGGAGAGACAGCTCAGTGATTAAGAGCACTGGCTGTTCTTCCAGAGGACCTGGGTTTGATTCCCAGTGCCCACGTGTTGGCTCACCATCATCTGTAACTCCAGTCCCACAGGAGATATGACACCCTTTTCTGGCCTCTGGGAGCATTGCATACTCATGGTGCACAGACATACATGCAGGCAAAACATCTTTACACATAAAATAATTCTTTAAAATACAGAAAATGTTCCTAGCATCAACTTTATAGCAAATCATAATATTAAATCATCTAGCTTATGTTCCACAAACTACTAAATACATGATTTTTAAAATAATATTCTTTATTTTTGAGATTATAATATAATAACATCATTTTCCCCTCCTTGCTCTCTTTCGAATTCATGGCCTCCTTTTTAATTAATTATATGCATATATGCATATGTGATTTTAATATTTTTCTTCTGGTAATATTTGAGTATGTCTATTGTTATCAACAAAGATAACAATTCAGCTGCACAATTTTACAATTATCTCACCAGTTTAATGAGGGCCTCATTCTTTTTTACATCTTTAACACTTGTTATCTTTTAAAAATTTTTAATTAAAATTTTGTTACATTTATTTGTTGTGTGTGTATGTGTGCTCACATATGCCACAGCAGGTATGTGGAAGGCAAAGGACAAACTTTGTTTCTTTGTTTAATTTCATTTTAAGTGTATGAGTGTTTTGACGGCATGTATGTCTGTGCACCACATGCGTACCCTCAGAGGCCAGAAGAGGGCATCAGAGCCCCTGAACTGGAGTTACAGACAGTTGTGAGCTGCCATCATGTGGGTCCTGCGGAAGAGCAGCCAGTGCTCTAAACTGCTGAGCCATGTCTCCAGCCCCTAGAAGACACTGTTGTGGAGTCAGTTCTGTCCTTCCAGCATGTGGGTCCTGGGGATAAACTAAGGCAGCTGGGCTTGGTAGCAAGTGCCTTTACCCACTAAACCATCTTGCTGCTCATGGTTTTTTTTTTTTTTTTTTGTGACAAGGTTTGTCTGTATAGCCCTGGCCATCCTGGAACTAGCTCTGTAGACCAGGCTGGCCTCAGATTTAGCGATCCTCCTGCTTCTGCCTCCTGAGTGCTGGGGTTAAAGGCGTGCGCCACCACACTCAGCTTTCTTCTTTTTTAAATGCATCCACACTAGAGAGTGTAAAGTAGTATTTCATTGTTGTTTCATGTTCCCTCGGTGAATAATGATGTTTAACATCTTTTCATCTGATTCATTGTCATTTTAATGTAATCTCTGAAGCAATGTCTATTCATATACTTTGGCCATTCAGAAACACTCAGTTACAGCTGTCTCATCTCATCCTCAGATGATATGTTCAAAGATCCTCAGTGGATGCCTAAAACCATGGAGGACACTGAACCTTATCTCTACACTATCTTTTTTTCTATGCACACATGTTTATGGCAAAATGTTAATTCATAAAGTAAGCACAGTAAGAGGTTAAAATTAGGTGCTAATATTTTCTTGCATTGAGCTGGATGAACTCTTTCACCTTCGCATTTGCTGGAAGCACTCCCTAATTTCTCTTGGCAAAGCTGAGTGGTCGCCATCACTGTTCTTGTGTTTTTAGGGTCATTATTAAGTAAAATATAGACTATACAAGAAATACAATGCAATGCAGCAGCAGTTATCTGGTAACTGAGATAGTTACTTGGTGACTGATGAGGTGATGTGTATAAAGTCCATATTCTGCACAAAGGATTGACTCTTGTCCTTAGCACAGTCAGGGGAGGGCAGTGCTACATGTTATCATATTACTAAGAGTAGCATACAATTTAAAACTTATGAACTATTTGTTTCTGGAATTTTCCATTTAATATATTTGGATAGCCACTGACTGTAAGTGGAACAATAGAAAGTGGAGTTCTCCATCCAAGAGAATGACTGTATTTGCTTTTTGGTGCATGTAATCCTGGGAAATGAATCTAGGGTCTCACACATGCTAGACAAGTGCTCTACCACTAAGCTATAGTCCAAGCCCTACATCTACACTTTTCATTATTGAGTTATACATATTTTGAATATTAAACCCTTATTAGTATATCATTTATAAATACTTAACAAATATTTTCTCTTATTCTGGACCCTTCCCTCCCCACCTTAATAGTTTCCTTTCAACCTTAACAGTTAAAACTAGAATTTTAAAGTCAAAAGATAACTAATAGATCACTACCCAAACTCACCTCTTTTGCTTTACTGATATGGACACAAAAGTCCAATAAACTGAGTTGCTTTCCTTAAGACTAGAATCAGGAAGTTACTTTATAAACTATATGGTCATACCAGAGACATAATGTAATTAAAAATATCATTGAAGACATTAGAAAACAATATGAAATATCTGATAAGCAGTGTGATACAATGAGACATGGACTATAAAGGCAAAATGAACTTAGAGAACTAGTTGGAGGACTAACGTATAGTCACCTGACTGATTAGCAGACAGAAAGTAGAAACACTAAGACAGTTCTGGACAGTAACAACAGGATTAAGAGCTGTAACCTACCGTTAATACCACTGGCAGTTCTTAACAACTTGTGCAGATTCATCATTCCTTTCGCTGAAAGACAAGGTTCAGAGTCAAGATTATATACAGTCCTGAAGCTGACTAGGAGAGGGGAACTGGAGAAAACATCCAAGTTCCTATGGGCTATCTGTTTTAATCCATATTGCTTGCTGCTTGGGTGGTTTGAATAAGAATGACCCTTATAGGCTCATATATTTGAATGCTTGGTCATTAGGGACCAAAGATCAGGACATGTGGTGTGGCTGTGTTGGAGGAAGTATGCCACTGGAGGCGGGCTTAGGGATCTCAAATGCTCAAGCCAGACCTAGGATCTCTCCCTTCCTGCTGCCTGCTGAACTGGACATAGAATTTTTTCTCATCTTTTTTTTTAATTAAAAAAAATTATTTCCTTTTACATACCAATCCCTGTTCTGCCTCCCTCCCCTTCTCCTGCTCTCCCCCACCTAACCCCATCCCACCCCCATCCCCTCCTCATAGAGGCCTTCCTTGGGCAGTCAACACAGGCTGGCATACCAAGTTGGGGCCAGACCTAGCCCCTCCTCCTTGCATCAAGGCGGACACTGAACTCTTAGCTCCTTCTCCAGCACCATGTCTGTCTGCATGCCACCATGCTTCCCGCTTAGACTAACCTCTGAAACTGTAAGCCAGCCCCAATGAAATGTTTTCCTTGATAAGAGTTGTCATGGTTGTGGTGTCTTTTCACAGCAACAGGACAAGTTTAGTCCCCGAGTAAAAACCTTGGGTCAGGACTGAAGTCAAGGTTAGCCACGTGTTATTTATTATCTTTTCTCATCAAAATGTGGGTTCATTTTATTTCTTAAACATGAGGAGATGAAGTCTCAGGAGAAAGTGGACATAGGGTTTAGTTTTCTGCTTTTGACAAGGTTGGCCACGGCCAGACAAGCCAATTTTGCTCTCTTTTAACACCAAGAAAGATCTGTGGCAAGTTATGGAAGCCTACAAAGTTACAGTGGTTCTTTGTGGCCATGGAGGTATCATACACAAGGTAATCTGTTACTTAGAAGCAGTATGCTAGTGTGGGTAGAAATATCTTCTGATATTAATATATTACCTTTTGATACCTTCAGAGTTAATCCTTTGATGTATGCATAAGGGAGAATATGGTGATAAAGTTATGGATTATTGCCAGAAAGCAGAACTAATAAGATTATTAATTTTTCCTTTTCAATAATTTATCTTTCTGAATATATATTTTCTATAATGAATATACATTACCTTGATTTTTCAGTGTTGGTGCTGATGATTTTGTGCATGCCAATCAATTGCTGTATCACTGAGTACACTCCTAGTCCCATGTACTACTTTAAAAATACTGTTTGCAGTATATTTCAAAAGTTAAAAATTCTTTTTCCTTTTTCCTTTTTATGTATATAGGTGTTTGTCCTGCATGTATGTGAATCATGTGTGTCCAGTGCCTTTGGGGGCTGGAAGAGGGCATTAGATGCCCTGGGACTGGAGTTACAGGTGGTTGTGAGCCACCATGTAGGTGATGGGAACTGGAGCTGGGACCTCTGGAAGAGCAGCTGAGCTTTCAACAGCTGAGCTGTCTCTGTAACCCTCCATGTATTACTTTTACAACCAAGAAAACACATGTGAAAATTAATATATGGCATCAACTGGTCAATTTTTAATTGTCCTGTAAGTTCACACTCACGTTTAAGTTTCTTCAGACCCTCCATTATTGATTGTATGGTCACCTTCCCACTTCCTGTAAAACATTTGATTCAGACACAGAGGCAGCCACAAAAAAAAAAAACTCAGTAAGGTTAATAAAAGTTGTGACATTATTAACAGCAAAGCATAGCCGGGCGGTGGTGGCACACGCCTTTAATCCCAGCACTTGGGAGGCAGGCGGATCTCTGTGAGTTCGAGGCCAGCCTGGTCTACAGAGTGAGTTCCAGGAAAGGCGCAAAGCTACACAGAGAAACCCTGTCTCAAAACAAACAAACAAACAAACAAAAACCCAAAAATAAATAAATAAATAAATAAATAAATAAACAAACAAACAAACAAAAGCAAAGCATTACATGATTTCCTGTCACCTCAAGCGCCCCCTGTCTCCCATAGGAAGTACTAGGCTGAACTTGTCTGCATTTGCTTTGGAATTTGGATTAGCTTTTCTCTCGGCTGAGGATGATGCAACAAATAATGACTTCTGTAGGGAGACAAATGTCTCTACTTCTTCAACTCGGGTCCTCTTTCATAGTTTCAAGAATGTGGTTGATAATTACAGGTCACAAGTGGGAGAGGGGAAACTTCCAAGAGTCTGCCCTCAAATCGATATCTTTCCCAACAGATGACAATAGATATATATTTTATTTACATTTTTTAAATTTATGTGTATGTGTGCTTGCACAAGTGTGCACACATGCATGCATGCATGCATGCATGAGTACCATAGCATGCATGTGGATCAGAGGACAACTTGCAGGAGCTGATTCTCTCCTTCTACCATGTGGGTTCTGGGAATCAAACTCAGGTTGTCAGGCTTGGCAACTAGTTCCCTTATTGCTGAGCCAGCTCACTGGAATGTGCATATGTGTGTGTGTGTGTGTACATACATACAAAATCTGTATATATTATATGTTACATATATGTAAAAGTGAAGATATGAAGGAAAATATGTTGGCATATGCTCAAATGTTACAACAGGGAGGGAAGGACCTGCTCTTTTCTGACAAGTCTTTCTGAGAGTTTTTTATTAGCATATATTAGTTATACATAACAATGGATTTCATCATAGCATCTTCACACATGCATTGCTGTATTGACCATATTCACCCCTTATTACCTTTTCTCTCCACCTAACTCCTGCTAATCCTTTTCCTCTTCCACTAGCTCTTCTACTTCCACATCTTTACTAATTTTTTGGTGACCTGGGAGTCCTTTTTGAGAACCACCACAAATGTGCTGTGCTACAGTGAGGACGCAGTCTGTCTCTGACTGGAAAGATGCCCCGCAACGACTAAGCCAGTCTCTCCCCAGAAGACTACTCCAGTCTCAGCCATATGTTCTCTCTGCATATATATATCACATTATATCACATTATTTTATGTGCTTCTTCCTGTATTGGACCAAAAGCTTTTTGAGGACAAGGGCTGTGATTCATTCCTTTTTGTGTTCTTAGCATTTGACATCAGACTTTTTCTTTAGGAACTTTAAAGTTTGTTGGGAGACCACAGAAGTGTATAAACAAGAAGTCAGAGCAGGAGGTATGTATTCTGTCTCTAACAAAATCCTATCAGAATTCAGAGAAGAAAAGTGCTGCTTTAGTTGAGGGGTGAATGGTGAAATAGGAGTCACAGAATGCAGAAGGAGCCTGGTGCAGTCAAACAGGATTTCAAGAGCACACTGTGGGATGGGGATGGAGTAGAGGAGGAACATTCTAGACCAAGTGGTAGTTAAGCTAAAGGACAAAAGGAGGAACAAAGCTGCTTTAGAGAATCACAGTTCAGTGGTTTGCGGCATAACAGGGTGGAAGAGGCGGAGGAGAGGGCTGAGGAGCACATGTGGGCTTTGCTGTAGGTTTTGAATTCTTTTTTCATTTGTCTTTCCATGACAGGGTTTCTCTGTGTAGCCCTGGCTTTCCTGGAACTCACTCTGTAGACGAGGCTAGCCCTAAACTCGTAGAAATGCCTCTGCTTCTTGAGTACTGGGACTAAAGGTATGCACCACCACGACTAGCTTTAATTTGTGTGTTTTTTATGGTGCTAGAATTCAAACCCAGGGCCTTACCTGTGATGCTAGGCCAGTGCCCATCACTGATCTGTATCTCAGCCAGTAAGTGGTCAGTCAGCCCCAAACTCCTGCTTCTCCCGAGTCTCTGCTACTGCTCACTCTTATTTCCTAATTTCAGTCACTCTGATAATTTTGTACTTCCTTTTTGGGTTAGAATCATGCCCTCACACATTGGCTTACTGGTTTTACTGGGATTTTAAAAGGAGAACAGGCATAGTCGCTTCTCTTTTCTTTTCAGATGTTCAGTAGTCAAGATGTGGCCCATGGTGCCACAGTGGAGTTTGTTAGACATGCAAGGCTTCACCCTAGACCTGAACCCAAGCCTACACTTCAACAAGATATGAAGATGTGCTGGCTGGTCTCATGTCAGCTAGATGCACAGACTAAAGTTATCGGAAGGGAGGGAATGTAAGTTGAGAAAATGCCTCCATAAGATCCAGCTGTAAGGTATTTTCTTAAATGGTGAATGATGACGGAGGGCCCAGCCCATGGTGGGTGGTGCCATCCCTTGGCTCATGGTCCTGGGTTCTACAAAAAAGCAGGCTGAGCAAGCCAGGGGAAGCAAGCTAGTAAACAGCACCCCTCCATGGCCTCTGCATCAGCTCCTGCCTCCAGGTTCCTGCCCTGTTTGAGCTCCTGTCCTGACTTGCTTTGATGATGAACAGCGATATGGAAGTGTAAGCCTTTTCCTCCCCAACTTGCTTTTTGGTTGTGGTATTTTGTACAGCAATAGTGACCCTAACTAAGACAGAAGGTAATTCGAACACACACTCAAGTGCTTTAGGTGATACAGAACAGATAATTTCTGAAGATCTTCTTTGCTGGTCACAAAAGCACTTTTAGGAAGACACCACCTTACATGTAGAAACCCTCACCGTTAAATTCCAGGTAAGGCATCAGGTTGTTCATCTCATCTTCTGTGAGCTCGATCCCCTCATTTGCTAGAAACTTGCCCAGGTTTTGGATGTCAATTACTTCTCCTTAGAAAGGATGAGAAACGGGTGCAGATTTATTATAGAAACAGTTTTTTACAAAGGATGACAAACTGTGTGTGATCATGTAGACTGTTGCCCTGCACATCTGGCAGGGAAAGGAGCCCCGGGAAATGGAAATCCTGTGTCTAAGTTCTGCTTTGGTGCATCAGCAGTCGGTGACAAAGGATGTACCCCAGATTGGAAACCCCTGTGGGCTGTGCGGAACCCGCACCAGACTAGGTTTTGAGCAAGGTTTATTTTAACTTTTTCTCTTCCTTCTGCCCACGTGAATATCCCTTTTCTCTATGTACCAGCCTCCTTTCTTTTTCAAAAGGTCCCTGTCTTGCTCATGTTGTCTATGTTGCCCAGGCTGGCATCAAACATGCAATTTTCCTGCCTCAGTTTGTTTTTTTGTTTTTTTTTCCAGAGACAGGATTTCTCTGTAGCTTTGGAGCCTGTCCTGGACTAGCTTTGTAGACCAGGCTGGCCTATAACTCACAGAGATCCACCTGGCTCTGCCTCCCGAGTGCTGGGATTACAGGCGTGTGCCACCACCACCTGGCTTTTTTTTTTTTTTCCCTGAGACAGCGTTTCTCTGGGTAGCTTTGCGCCTTTCCCTGAACTCACTTTGGAGACCAGGCTGGCCTCAAACTCACAGAGATCTTCCTGCCTCTGCCTCCCGAGTGCTGGGATTAAAGGCGCTGCCTCAGTTTCTTAAGTAGATTGGGACTACAGGTATATATCATTATACCTGGAAATACACACCAGTGAAAACTTTAATTTCTATTTACTTTAATTACATTTGCCTGTAATTTACTTCTTTGGTCACTATGCATTCCACAATTCATCTCATCTCAACACAAAGGACAAAGTTTTTCTTAATAATTCTAAGAGATTTAACTACACTAAAGGCTACTATAAAGGGCTGGTAGGGGCAAGAAACCCCACTCCTTACCACAAAAACAATGATCAGTTTTTCTTTCTAATCTTTGATAATGACTGTATTTATATAATGTGAAAATCTAATTTAAATATAATTTTGTATTTTATCTTACTATGAAGACCAGGCTGATCTCAAATTTGTGATTCTCCTGCCTCAGCTTCCTGAGTGCTGAAATTATAGGTGTATGCCATCATGCTTGGCTTGTGTTTTGCTTTTTCAACCTAAAATAATTTCTTTATAAATATTTTTAATGTACTACATAATCTTTTAAAATGTTAACACTTTTTAAAATTGTTTTTTAAGTCAGCATACAAAATAACAGATTCAATTACAGCATCTTCATACATATGCCATTTTACTTTGGTCTGCCTTTCATCACTTCCCCTCCCCCATCTCCAAGTGGCTTCCCCTTCCCCCAGTTAGTGTCCCCTGTTTTCCTAGTACATGTACTCTGCTATCCTCTTTATGTCCCACCTCCCTTAAGAGCTCTCCTTCCCCTCTCATGATCCCCTTTCTAGTTTTATGAGCTACAAATATATAGTTAACAACACACACACACACACACACACACACACACACACACACACACACACACAGTATTAAATCTAGGTTTCACAAATGAGAGACTATGTATTGTCTTTCTTTTTTTCTTTTCTTTTCTTTTTTTTTTTTTTTTTTTTTGAGCTGAGGACCGAACCCAGGGCCTTGCACTTGCTAGGCAAGTGCTCTACCGCTGAGCTAAATCCCCAACCCTGTATTGTCTTTCTGAGTCTGGATTAATTCATTTACCACAATGATTTGCAGTTTCCATTTTTTCTGAAAATTTTATGATTTCACTTTTCTTTATGGCTGATTAAAATTCCATTGTCCTGCTGGGCGGTGGTGGCGCATGCCTTTAATGCCAGCACTGGGAGGCAGAGGCAGGCAGATGTCTGTGAGTTTGAGGCCATCTTGGTCTACAGAGTGAGTTCTAGGACAGCCAGGGCTACACAGAGAAACCCTGTCTCAAAAAACAAAAACAAAACAAAACAAAACAAAAATCCATTGTCCTGTGTTATCCACTCATCTTTTGATGGACATCTAGATTGGTTCTATTTCCTGGCTGTTGTGAATAGCATGTGAATGTACAAGTATTCTGTGTTAATTGATTAGAGTCTTGCCGGTATTTACCCTGAGAAAACTGTGTCATATGGAAGTTCTACTTTCAGCTTTTGGAGGACTGACTTCAACACTGACTACACGAGATATCCCCATCAGCAATGAATAAGTGTTCCTCTCCCCCCGCCCCTCTAGCGTATGTTTTTTGATGAGGCCATTTTGACTGGGATGAGATAGAGTCTCAAAGCAGCTTTGATTTGACTTAGCTATCCTAGCTAAGGATGTTGAGAACCATTTAAAGCATGTATTGGCTATTTGTACTTCCTTTGTGAGAACTGTTTGTTCAGTTTATTAGATTATTAATTAACTGGGTAAGTTGTATTTTAGGTGTTTATTTATTTATTTTTTTGAGAAGGGGTTTCTCTGTGTGTCTCTGGCTATCCTGGAACTTGCTCTGTAGACCAGGCTGGCCTTGAACTCAGAGATCCACCTGCCTCTGCCTCTTCAGTGCTGGGATTAAAAGCATGTGCCACCAGATCTAGCTTATGTGTTTGGTTTTTACAGTTCTTTATATATCTTGAATTTGTGTATCATCATTGTGCAGGGACCACACTAACCTTATGTGTAGTCTTCCAGTTGTACTAAATATGCAGTCAAGTGAATACTCCATATAATCTTTGTAGTTAGTGTTTTAATCCATGCTATCTCACTTAACTAACATTGTATTTTTAAGTTTGTTTTTTTTCCAGACAAAGTCTTTATGAAGCTCAGGCTGATCTCAAGTTTGTGATTCTCTTACTACTTAATGGCTTGTATAGTGATTTAATATACACTTAAATATTTCTAATCTATTACAGTTTCTTACTACTTATTATGAGAACAAAAGTCTTGAAACAGGATTTTAAATTTTACCAGTAAAGTATTCCTGTAGGATACTTTTCTAGGAGGGGTTGTTTGGGGTAAAGGGTATGACTGGTTCTATGGGTTTTGGGTTCTGTGTTGGCTAGTCTTATGTCAGCTTAACACACAAACTAGAGTTATCTGAAGAGGGAACATAATTGAGGAAATGCCTCCATAAGTTCCAGCTGTAAGGCATTTTCTTAATTAGTGATTGATGAGAGAGGGCCCAGCCCATTGTGGGTGGTGCCATCCCCTGTGCTGGTGGTCCTGGGTTCTATAAGAAAGCAGGCTGAGCAAGCCATGATGAGCAAGCTAGTAAGTAGTGCCCCTTCATGGCCTCTGCATCAGCTCCTGCCTCCAGGTTCCTGCCCTGTTTGAGTTCCTGTTCTGACTTCCTTTGATGATGAACAGCAGTATAGAAGTATAAGTTAGATAAACCCTTTCCTTCCCAACTTGCTTTTTGGTCATGGTGTTTCATCTTAGCAATAAAAACCTTAACCAAGACAATATCTGATTCTATATTGGAAAATTTCAGGGAAAATGTCACATATTACTATAAATATCAGTATAAATACATGTTATGGTTTACTTGAGTTCAGTGAATCCACAGAAATGGAAAAATGTCATATAAAAGAATCTAAAATTTACCCATGGTGGTATGTGGCTATAATCCAAGCGCTTGGGAGATAGAGACAGGAGGACTGAGATTTCAAGGTCATCTTTACTTATATAGTGGGTTTCAGTAGCCTGGTCTTCATGAGACTCTGCCTCCAAAAAAACCAAACCATAACAAACCAAAGAGTCTTCCAACTATCCACCCCAAACCATCTACTAACCAATCAACCATTCATCTAACCAACCATCTAACCAGCCAACCAACCAACCAACCAACCAACCACCAATCATCAACTAACTACCAACTAACCATCCATCCAACCAACCATCTAACCAACCAACTAGCCATCCAATCAATCAACCAACCACCCACCAATCAACCACCAACCACCCACCAACAAACTCCTAACCAACCAACCAACCATCCAACCAACCAACCAATCACCCACTAACCAACTACCTACTAACGATCCAACCAACCAATCAACCAACCACCAACTAACCAACCAACCATCCATCCAACCAATCATTTAACCAACCAACCATCCAACCAACTAACCAACCAATCATCCAACTAACCAACCATAACCAACTACCAACCATTTACCAATCAACCAACCAACCATCCATCCAACCACCTAGCCAACCAACCATCCAACCAACCAACCATCTAACCAACCAGCTAACCAACCTGCTAACCAACCAACCAGCCAACCAATAAAACAATCACTAACCAACTATCAACCAACCAATCACCAACTAATCATCTAACCAACCAACCAACCAACAATCTAACCATCCAATCAACCAATCACCAGCTAACCAACCAGCCATCCATCCAACCAACCATCGACCAACCAACCACCAACTAACCAACCACCAACCAACCAACTACCAACCAATCATCAACCAACCAACCACCAACCTGCTGTGGCATGTCTTTCTCTGTGCTATGAATATGTTTTTATTACCATTGGTTAATAAAGAAGCTGCTTTGGCCTATACCAAGGCAGGATATAGCCAGGTGGGAAATCCAAGCAGAGATAGAGGGAAAAGAGGGCAGAGCTGGGGAGACACTAGTGAGTTGCCCAAGAAGCAAGATGTGAAAGTACTAGTAAGCCACCAGTCACATGGTGATACATAAATAGAAATTGGTTAATTTAAGATATAAGAACTAGCTAATAATAAGCCTGAGCCATAGGCCAAACAGTTTGTAATTAATATTAAGCCTCTGAGTCATTATTTTATAAGCTGCTACAGGACCAAGTGGGACAGAGAAAAGGCTCTGGCTACAACAACCAACCACCAATCAACAAATAACCAACCAACCATCCATCTAACCAACCACATAACCAACTAACCAACCATCCAACCAACCAACCACCAATGAAATACCAACCATCCAACTAACCAACCAACCAACCAACCAACCAATCACCAACCAACCAAGCACACACATACAAAAACAGAGCAACCTTTATGAATGGTAAAGATACTCGCCCAGTATTAATTGTTAAGTATTTAAGATGCTATTTTTAAGTGTTTCCTATTATGACTTGAAACTTACCCTTGATGTAACTGATGATATCCATCAGATCATTCAGATCCACTGTTCTGTTACCTGTAAGTTAAGGGAAGATGATTCCATGTTTCTAAGATTCCTAGAAGTTATACTCCATTACCTTCTGAAATTATAAAGAACCTAAGAATTTAGTGACATTTTTTCTAGATTTCCTTAGAATGTTATGGTTAACAGTGTTATCTTGGAAACGAAGAAAGCTTATACTGTGAAATGAATAATAATTATATCATCTTTTCCCCCGTTGTTTTAGAGACCACTAGAGTCATCTAAATTAAGAAATGATTTAGCATAGTTATGCATAGGGAGAATCTGACTTTATAGATTTTTATTTTGTCAGTTAATTGGCAAATACAGAGTACCTTCCTTGTGCTGGGTACTTTGTGAGGACTTGTGGGTGCTAAAGGGAGCATCCTCAAGGAAGAGGATGGGTTCTAGGGAGGAAGACAAGCAATGAACACACAAAGGGATAATTTTTCACTACCAAAAATGAAAGAGGACCCTGTAATAAAAAGTAATAGAGGATAGGAATGCTTTAGACAAGGAGGCAGGAAAGGCCTCTCTGAGGAGAGTCAGTTGGGCTTTGGACTGAATGATGAGAAGGGTTAGCCATGTGAAGAACTGGAGGGAGACTATTCCAAAAGAAGGTTATGATGTACAGTTGTACTATGATGGGAATGAATGTGACACGAGAAGAAAGGAACATATGAAAGGTCCTGACTCAAACCCACAGGAATAAGGGTCCCAAACAGTGAGATGTTGAGGGGAAGTACTGGAGATGGGAAAACAAAGAAGACAGAAAGCTAGGATAGGGAGGTAGGTATGAGCTGATGACTCATGCCACCAAGTTTATTAAGAAGTACAGCCTCTTGTACACTGTTTGAAGGGGAAAACTGGAAGGAAGTCATCAGGAAGCTAATCAAATGTGTAAACAAAGGGAACACAGTATATCTCAGGTGCACATAGGCCGAGCACACAGCAGCCCTGGGACTGGTAAATACAGCCCTTCAAAGGGAGAAAAGTCTAGTTTCCAGGCTTTGTGGGATATTTATATACTCTGTGAAGATGTTGTGCTATAATTAGTGTAATAAGAGCTGAATGGCCAATAGGTAGGCAGGAAGAGGTTAGGTGGAACTTCTGGGGACAGAGAAGACTCTGGGAAGAAGAAAGGCAGAGTCACCAGCCAGAGGTGGAGGAAGCAGACTGGGCAGTACAGAGAAAGGTAATGCCACTTGGCAGAATGTAGATGAATAGAAACAGGCTGATTTAAGTTATAAGAGCTAGTTGGGGAAAAAGCCTAAGCTAAGGCTAAGCTTTCATAATTAATAATAAGTCTGCATTTCATTATTTGTGCACTGGCAGCCAGAAGAAAAATCCGTCTACACACAAGAACTGAAACCTTAATTTCCTTGAGGCACTGGCTCTAGCTCCAGCTTAGACTTTGTTAAGTCTGCTCCTGGGCAAGAGTATAGGACTAACATTCCCTTTGTCCTTCAATCAGGCCTCTTTGAAAGCCTTGGATCATCCTGGCTCCCACAGGCTCCAATCATACAGAGCCTTGCAGGCTACAAAGAAGCTTGGATTTTATTCTGGTTGCAGTGTAAAAGCATTGTAGGTCTTGAAGACAAGGAATAACTTGATTTGATTTCAGCTTTCAAATGGTTACTCTGGCTGGTGTGTGCAGAATAAGGAACTTGGAAAAATGGAGACTAGATAGATTATTTCACTGGATAAGGAAAGAGATGATGGTGGGTAAGGCCAGGAGAGCAGCAATGGAGACAATGATAAAAAGGATGGATTTAGGCCAGGTGGTGGTGGTGGCGGTGGCGGCGGCGGCGGCGGCGATGATGCACGCCTTTAATCCCAGCAGAGGCCAGCCTGGGCTACAGAGTAAGATCCAGGACAGGCGCAAAGCTACACAGAGAAACCCTGTCTCAAAACAAAACAAAACAAACAAACAAAAAATGATGGATTTAGAACATGTTTGTCAGGTAGAGATAGATTTGAATGTGGGTTGAAGAAAGGGAGAACAGAGGAGTGATGTCTCATCTTCCACACTCTCCAATCATCAGGGTGATGAGGAAGGATCAAGGCTGGAAGAATTAACTAATAATTTTATTGAATCGGTAATGTCTTCCAGAAATCTAAATGGAATCATCAAATGGATAATTTTTATATACTATTCCTGACTCAGACTAACCTAGAGAAATACATGTACTTAATCAGATTGGAGATAGCATATGACCCAATGGCACTGGATGTAATCACCTAGGAGGGTGTAGATGAAAAAGGCACTCATGGATCCAGCCCCGGCACTGTGTGATTTGGAGATCTTGTATGAGAGGAAGAGTTAGAAAGGGAAATGGAATAGGAGACCATGGTAAATGAAGACCACATGAGAAGGTGAGAAGGGGAGGAAGCAGAGAGCTAGGGAGGCCCACGGAGATCCACAAAGATACCCCCTCAAAAGACTGCTGGCAATGGTCGCGAGACGGCAGGAACTGACCTACTCTGGTGATGGGATGGCCAGACACCCAAATAGTGGTGCCATAAACCCCATCCAAGGACTGAGGAATCTGAAGGCAGACATCCACGGCTGGGCCCCTGGTGGAGCACTGGGAGTCTAATTAGTGAGTAAGAAGAGGATTTATATGAGCGAGAATTGTTGAAGCCAAGGTTGGATAAAGCACCGGGACAAATAACCAAATGAATGGAAGCACAGGATCTATGAACCAAAGGCTGAGGGGCCCCCAACTGGATCAGGCCACCTGAACGGGTGAGACAGTCAGTTGGCTTGATCTGTTTGGGAGGCAGCTGTGCATTGGTGCCAGGTCCTGGGCTCGTTGCATGAGTTGGCTGTTTGAATCCTGGGACGTATGCAGGGACACTTGGCTCGGTCTGGGAGGGGGGAATGGACCTGCCTGGACTGAGTCTACCAGGTCAACCCCGGTCCTCGGGGGAGACCTTGATCTGGAGGAGGTGGGAATGGGGGGTGGGCTGGGGGGAGGGGTGGGCGAGAGGGGGAGAACAGGGGATTCTGTGGCTATTATGTTGAACTGAATGGTGTTGTAAAATAATAATAATAATAATAATAATAATAATAATAATAATAATAAAAAAAAAAAAAGAAAGGGAAATGGAGACAAAGATAGTGAGTGGATAAGAACATCATGTGAGAACAGGACCTCTCAAGTCTGGAAAAAAGTTTTCAGAAAGGGGTGGCCACATGTGGCAAGTGTTGTAAAGATGCCAAGTGAGGTGAGAACAGACTTGACCATGAACCTGAGCAAAGATAGCTCACTGATGATCTTGTTGAGAGTTGGGTAAATGTGATGCTGGGGATGAAAACCTAGTTGGAGTGTTAAGGAGTAGAAGATGAGGAAGCAGAGACAGCCTGGCCTCAGACTCAGTATGTCATTAAAGATTACCTTGGACTTCTGCCTCCACCTCTCAAGTGCTGGTACTATAGGAGTGTATGACTTTTTGAGTAGTCTGCTGTCAAGAAGAACTAAGGACAGGATGTAACAGGAGACAAGTGTGATGGACTAGCATATCAGTATCAATGGCAACATGCAGAGAGAAAGCATAGTGAGGAAGACACTCATGATACAGGGGAGGATATCATGGGCGATAAGAGGGGAGCCCTATAGGAGCCAGGTCTCTAAGACAGCAAGAAGCACCAGGGTCCATGCCCAAGTGAAGAAGCTGACTCTTTGTAGAAGTGGTTCTTGTCCCTTTAGAGCAGGACAAAAGGTAGGGCATATGGCCCTGGGTGCAGATGGCTCCTAAAAAGGAGGGAAGGAAAGAAGGACCTTCTTGTCTAATTGCATCTGTTTTCTTTATGAAATCTGAAGTGAGGTCATCATCTAAAAGTTAAGGTGAGAAGGTACTAGAAATTGAGTAGAGAAGGTGTGAAATTATCTCCGAGAGTAAGACAACAGTCCTTGGAAAATGTAGCAGAGACTTCCTTGCAAGTGTTCGGGACTGTCGTGGAAACCTGTGACTGTTAATCTGAAGTGAATTCTATTAGCCTGGTTTTATGATTCTCCAGCCCTCTTGAGTTATTCAAGAGTAAGTACAGAGTAAGGAGATGGCTTGGTTTTTGTCAAGTATGTTTGGTAGGAGTTCTGAGACTTTGTAATGTTATGTGATATTAAGCACGGAATCTAAAGAAGGAAGATGGCAGTGGTGAGTGGTTACTGCATAAGTAACAAGCCAGAGGGAGAGGTATAAAGGCCTTCATGCTGGAGAGAAGCTGGAGTTGGCATTTCATGCTCTTTTCTCCCACAGCATGTGCTTCAGTGGCATCAGGACACCATGTTCAATGTTTACAGAACGATGGCACAGCAATATGTTTTGGTCCATATATAATTCTTCCTAATCAACAGTGCCATTCTCCAGCTCAGAGCCCTTGCTCTCATCTCCATCATTTCAGAGAAACAAGGCCGATTCTCACCTCATTGCATATGGGTCTGCACGCGCATATATGTTTTGATTGTGTGTGCTGTGTCTCTGTGTGGGAATGCGCACATGAGCAGGTGTCTGTGGACACCAGAGGTGTTTGATGCCCCTGGATTTGGAATTACCGACAGTCGTGAGCTGCCCTACATGGGTGCTGGGAATCAAACTGGGGTCTTCTGCAAGAACAGTCTGTATTAACTGCTGAACCATCTCTCCAGCCACTGAATTATGCTGTGGAGTAATCCTTCTGTGCACTGTGAATATGTATTACTCTCAGTAGTTAATAAAAAGCTGACAGGCCAGTAGTAGCCAGGCAGGAAGTTAGGCAGGAAAGCCAAACTGAGAATGATGGGAAGAAGGAGGGTTGAGTCAGGAGAGATGCCAGCAGACAGAAAGAGAGCAAGATGGGCACGCTGTACTGAGAAAAGGCCACATGGCAAAACATAAGCTTGAGCTATTGGCTGAGCATTTATAAGTAATATTAAGCCTCTATGTGGTAATTTGGAAGTGGCTGCTACAAGAGGAAAATTCCGCCTATAGAGTTATATCCTTGTTTAACTTGCTTCATATAGTCTCCATTATTGTTTTGTTAGAGTACTGCTTACAGAGAAGTCAGGAACAGGAGATCAGGATGACTATTGGGGGTTCTTAACCTGGTGTTCATATATTGATAAAATTCAGGGATTTCTTGAGCTTGAGTGGGAAAAAATATACACTTATTTTCACTAACCACTAACTGAAACTTAGCATTTTTTTTTTTTTACAGATTCTTCAGACAGCAAACCATAGACAGCAGAATCTGTAACTTTGTCACTAATATAAATCACCCAAGGTTCATGTCAGTGTTATTGTTGCAAATATGTTGAAATGTTGCTTATGCCCATCTCTATTTTAAAGTGACAACAATTGGACCTGCTAGAAGAACTTAAGGGCTTTAAAAAGTATTAACCATTTGTAACATGAATGTTTTGATAAACCATATTTTAATATGACTTGTTTCTTTGTAATCTTGTGCTTCAAAAATTTACTTAGAAGAATACTGTTGTAGCAGATGTAGAAACAGATGCATGGCACAGTAAGGTTAAAACCCCTAAGCTACAAGACACTGTAATTCCAAGAGGAGGAACAGGAGCAGAGACAGAGAATCGGAGTGCAGAGAAGAGCTGTATTTCTCTGACTAATAGGGTAGTATCTGCAATACTCACCATCAGATGGCAGCTGGGCCATTAGTTCTTCAAGTTCTTCATCTTTGATCTTAACTCCCAGGTTTTCCAAGAGAGATTCCATTTTTTTTATTTTGGCCCGTGGCCCTTGGAAAAGAAGGGCATGGGATGAGAATGTGAGTATTGATTCTTATGGGTGAAAAGCACTGATCATGCTCATACATCAAACACTCCTACTGGGAAGCTAAACACTAGAGCCCAAGGAAACTGTTACTGCATGTATGTCCAAGATTTAGATATATCTGTTAACAGTAGAAAAAACTGAAGGAAATAAGCATTCACTTGTTAATAGTATTTGTCTTTATTAGAAAGATTATATTTGTGGAAGACAAGGAGACTTTTGCCTTTTTTAAAGTGTGGGTGCTAGGAATCAAACAGGCATTGCTCTGCCTGACATTTTACAAACTTCAAGAATATTTAAAAAATTAAATTTTTTTTTTTTTTTGGTTTTTCGAGACAGGGTTTCTCTGTGTAGCTTTGCGCCTTTCCTGGAACTCACTTGGTAGCCCAGGCTGGCCTCGAACTCACAGAGATCTGCCTGGCTCTGCCTCCCAAGTGCTGGGAATAAAGGCGTGCACCACCCCCGCCCGGCAAAATATTGTTATATAAATTCCTCTATCCTCCTTCTCCTTACAACTCCTCCCAAGTCTCCCTCTCAAATTCATGATCACTTATTCTTTAATTATTGTTACATATATATGAATAAATACATAAATACAATCTACTGAGTTCATTTAGTATTGCACATATAAATTTATCTATCATCTATCTATCTATCTGTCTATCTATCTATCTATCTATCTATCTATCTATCTATCTATCTATCTATGACTGACCACTTGGTATTGGTATTGGATGACAAGTTAGGGGACTCATTCCTAGGAAGACTAAGCCTCTTTCTCTCAGTAGTCATTGATGGTAGCTTTCATTTCAGGTTAGGACCCCATCGGATTTCCCTCAACCACAATGGCATGTCAATTAGATTTATTTACTTTATTTTAGATATATGAGTATTTTGCTTACACATATTTATGTGCACCATGTACATGTCTGGTGCCCACAGAGGTCAGCAGAGGGCATCAGATCCTCTTGAACTGGAGTTAAGGATGGTTGTGACCACCACGTGAGTGCTAGGAATTAAACATGGGTCCTCTATAAAAGCAGTAAGTGATCTTAGCCACTGAGCTGTCTCTCTAGCCCCCGTCCTGCTTGGCCTTTACTTTTCAAGTAGTTATTTTTCTTGAGTTGGAGAATTTTCTGATAGTTTTTCTTTTTCTTTGAGAATTGAATCCAGGACTTGCACACACTAGGCAAGCACTCTACCACTGAGTTACACTCCCATCATGTCTTTAAAATTGTTTTTGAGATAGAGTGTGACTAAGTTGTACAGGATGCCTTCAAACTTGAAATCCCCCTGTCTCAGACTTTTAAAATATAGTCTCCTAATTAAAAAAAAAAAAACAGCTGGGTATGGTGGGTTATACTTGTACCCCAGTACTTAATTGGGTGAGATAAGAGGATTGCTGCAAATTGGAATCCAGCCTGGAGTACAAACGAATTTCAGGCCAGTCCAGGCTACAGAATAAGGTCCTACCCCCAAAAACAAAAAGAAAAAACAAACAACACACACACACAAAATGGGAGGATAGTGGTTTGCATGGAGTATATAAAATAGAAATAGGGTATTCTCTTTAAGCCAATCCAGGCTCTCCAGGATCCATGAGAAATCAACAGAGGAGAAGGCCAGTCTAATTAATGTCTGATGGTTGAAACAGCTGTCTACACAAATCTAACCAGAAAACTGTTAGGAGTTTTCTACAGTGTTATGATTCTTAACCTATGTCTCTCAAAGTTCATGCATTCAAACATGAGAAGCAAGTTATAAGTCATACTGATGGATCAATAAATTGGCAGGAAGCAAAGCTGAAACATTTTAAGAGCTAACATTAAACATGACCCCCTTCCCCCTGCCCTGATACAGGGCCTTGCTACATAGTGCACACAAGATTTGAACTCACAATCCTCCTGCCTCAGCGTCCTAAGAGGAAGGATTGTAGTCATGTGCCACTACACCTGGCCAAGGATTTTTTTTACTTGCTTTTCTACTATGCAGCTCACTCACCTTTGAGATCCGTCACATACTTTAGCAGTCGCTTCTTATATATCTTCCCACCAGCTGTAAGGTGAGATAGCATTCAGAATATCAGTTAATGGTTGGGAAGACTGACAAGGGCAGATGACACAGGACGACATCCACGATTTAAAAAACCCCTCCAACCACCTTCTGATTTGTTTGGAAGTTTACTTTTACCATCATGTAAGAATGAAACCAAATATGAAGAAGTGAGTTATAAATACATATCTTGGCTGAATTAAAAAGTCTTAATTTTCCCTTTCTCCTTTTTCTTTTCTCTTTTTTTAAAACTGTAGGTGGATGTTTTGTGCACTACATGCATGTGGAGCATGCAGAGTCCAGAAGAGGGCGTCAAATCCACTGGAATTAGAATTACAGATGGGTTTGAACTGTTTTGTGGGTGCTGAGAAGCAAACCCTGGTCCTCTGCAAGAGCAACAAGTGCTCAGAATCGCTGAGCCATCCCTCCACTCCTCTTCTCGGTCATCACTTAGAGCTGGCAGTATGCTCAGGGGAGCAGGAACACTTAAGTTTGGTGGTAGAGGTTTGTGAGAGATATTATCAACCTTCAAGAACAGGCAACAAGATTTCTTCGACAGTGAGAATTGGGTTTTCTTCATGGGCTTTCCTGGATGCCGATGTATAATTCCCGAAGCATGCCCCTGAATGCAAGTCTGAAGGACTGACTTCAGTACTCACCGTAAACGGCCAGGCTTTTCTGCAGATCCTTGTATGTTTTGTCGGGGAGCACCAGTCCCACTCTTCTCAGCACATTTTTCAGATCTTCAACCTCAACTTTCCTCCCTTTAGGAAGATGCAGATTTTTAACAGGTAAGAATTTGAGCAAGGGGTAAATGATTTTGTTTGCTTATTGTGTATATGGCTGTGCAAGCGCTTCTGTGCACATGTGCATGTAGAGGTGAGAGGTCAGCCTTTGAGCCTCAGGAGGTGTCCTTTTTTTTTTTTGAGGCAGGGTCTCTCACTGGAAAGTGGGGCTTGCTGAGTAGGCAATGCTGACTGTCAGTGAACTCCAGGGATTTCCCTGCTCTGTATCCCTAGCACTTGGATTACAAGTTTATGCCCAGCTTTTTCTGTGGGTTCTGGGATTAATACTCAGTTCCTCCTGCAAGTGCTCTCTGGACTGAGCTATGTCCCAAGCATGGGGTTTTAGATCATGGAAAAATTATTTAAATTACCTATGTAGCATATTATAGGAGGGAAATTTCTTTTTTTAAAAAAAGATTTATTTATTTATTATGTACACAGAAGAGGGCACCAGATCTTATTACAGATGGTTGTGAGCCACCATGTGGTTGCTGGGAATTGAACTCAGGACCTCTGGAAGAGCAGTCAGTGCTCTTAACCTTTGGGCCATCTCTCCAGCCCCAGAGGGGGGAAATTTCAAGGGAAATTGTTAAGCTACCTAAATTCAGGGACATGTGAATATATCATTTGTTATAGAACGAGAATTTATACTTTAATAAAGGGAAAGCTCACATTCCAGATACAGATCAAACCCCACCGTGAGACTGAATAGTACTGATTTATGCTTTGTCTGTTTTGACAGCATGTCCAATCCCCAGTAGTGCCTCCCCAATTCCAACACACACGTACGCACGCACGCACATCCTATACAAACAAAGCCTAAATCAAATATAAGATTGTAGAACAAATATTCAACTCTTAATTTTGTAGGAGAGTTAATTTACCATGTCAGTAGTCACCTCAAAAGAAAATTAATGTTTGAAGACAATATTTTTTTTTAACAAAATATTAAGGCCTTAGTTAATAATGAATGCCTTTTAACTATCACTACTTACCAGTAAAAGTTTTTGCTTCATCCATTAACACACTTAAATCAACCAGTTTATTTTCTGTAAGAAAAGACAATCCAGGCACAGAGACCCGGTTAGATTTGGAAAAGTCACCAAAAAAAAAAAAAAAAAAAAAAAAAAGGTAAGATGTAAAGAGCTGGGATTCAGCCATCTTTCATGATTTTTATTATTATAAACTCTTTTAGCTCGAGAAGAAACGGATAGGTGAAGCTGGAATTTTAAGGACATCTCCTATCACTGAATAGCATTCTGAGAGCTACTGTCCTTCTCTCCCTCTGGGAAGACCCTGGGCAGCAGCTCCTCTCTTATTTTCTTCCTAATGGATTACACTGGGTTTGCCTCTTGACATTCCTGTCCAGCTAAATTGATCTCATCAAATCATTTATGAACTATTTCATTAAAAGTAGGTCTATAAGCTTATGCCAATAATCCCAGCACTCAGGAGAATTGCTAGGTGTTCGAAGCACACAGGCTACAGTAGAAGACAAAATAGCAGAAACTTGTAAATATGAGAAGGAAGAGACAGAGGAAGAAATATGGGTGAAGTGCATTCGTTAACTGGCTGCACAGACTATGCGGACATGGTGAAATGTTTCATAAGCTTTCCTACGAGACTGACTTTTTTTTTTGTTTTTTAAACTCTTCTAAGAACTTATACAGAAGCCCCGACTTTCTTCTGTGGTATCTGAAATACTCACCATCGACAGGCAGATGTTTCATGAGATCATCAAAGTCTTCCTTCTCAAGTTCAAATTCTGCATTCTTCAAAACGAGTGGTACATGACAGACTTGGACTTTTTTCCCTTAAGAGACATGGAGATGGAAGTAAACGCAAGGAATTCCCAAGGTGGGAGATGACAGCTTTGGGGATATGGAGAGTGGGTTCAGAGAGACGGCTCAGGGGTTCAGAGCACTTTCCGCTCCCCCAGAAGCCTGCAGGTTGGTTCCTAGCGCACACATTATTCAGCTCACAGTCACTCCAGCCCCAGGGGAGGTGACTCTCTTCTAGACTCCATGGGCTCCTGCACACAACGTGCATATACCCACATACAAGACACATAATTTAAACATTAAATCCTTAAAAAAGACTATAGATATTAAAGACCACAGATCCAGTCCCAGGGGGGACAGAGAACTATTGGCTGTTTTACAACCTAGATCAGTCACTGTTGGAGTTGGGAAGAGGAAAGCCCCCTCACTGAGATGCAACTTCCAGTTGAAGTGATCACAGATGAAGATACACTGTGACAAAGATAACCTCAAATCTGCTACAGTGACACACACAGTACCAACAACACCTTCCTCAGCTACAGTAAGCTAAAAGAGGAATGTTACCCTGTAAGCCTGTAAGCCCTAGGTGAGTTCTGAGGACATATTCAGAATCAGCAAACTAGCAGCATCATGGAATAGCAAGATTCTAATCAGTGAGGCCTTGAAACAATGTAATTGCAAAGAACAGGAATTGCAGGTCCTGTTCTCCGGATTCTCACCTTTGATTGACGCCACACTGTCCAGTAATCTCTTCTTATAGACTGTTCCATCTTCTGTAAGACATGGAGAAACACAAGGAGAAGGATGAGAATCTCTGTAATATATTCTCTCTCTCTCTGCCTTGTACAAGTGAGGCAAGCAACTATCATTAAGTGACATCTCTAGCCATGAAAGTCTATAATTTTATAATGTATTTTTATATGACTAACCTAGAAATTTGTTTCATCCTTAACTAACAGCAGAAGGATTGTGCTCAATGTGCTGAGTCTAAGACTTAGTTGGAACACATGGCAACTGGTAAGGCGTGTTACCAACACATTCTTCTCTTTGGCTTTCTTCTTGCTTTCTTTTGGCATTGCACTCTAGCCTCTGTCTTTCCAACCCTTTTCTCTGCCCATGAGGCATAGCTAGATGTTTACCCCAACATGGCAGACCATATAAAAGGATAATATTAAAAATAGTTACCAGCCAGGCACAATAGTTTATGCCTCCTCTCAGCATTTGAGAAGCTGAGACAGGAGGATTACAATTTGAGGCCAACTTGGGCTACATAGTGAGCTCAAGGCCAGTCTGAGGTATATAATGAGTCTCTCTAAAAAAAAAAGTGTCAATTTGAGCAGTAATAAAAACAAACATTTTAAATTACTTGCTAAATTAACTCCATAAGCGAAGGTGAAGTAAAATTGGGACAGATAATATCCACCAGTACAATGTATCCTTATGGGTTCTATCTGTCCCCAGAGAGCTCCAAGCCTCTGGACCCTCGGTGTCTGGCACATGTCTGATGTAGTCTCCAGTCCAGGCCATTTGCCTCTCTTTGCTACTTTCACAGAACCAAAGTGCTAAGAAAGCTGCAGGGTGTTAAGAGGGCTTGCTTAGCATGCAGAAGAGACCATCCTGATCACAGCAGTATCAAAGGGAAGGAGGAAGGCAGGGAAGCAGAGAAGGGAGGGCGTAAGGGAGGGAAGGAGGAGGCAGTTATTGAGAATGGTTCCTTGAGAGAACAATGAGGAGGCAGGTGGGAGAGGTGGCAGATGCAGCAAATGGGCAGCTTTAGGTGCATGTGGCTAGAATTCAGATGGGGGAGATTGCAGACACAGGGCATGGTAGTCTTAGGTACATGCAGTAAGAATTCAGATGGGGGAGACTGCAGACACAGGGAATGGGCAGTCTTAGGTGCATGCAACAAGAATTCAGATGGGGGAGATTGCAGACTCAGGGCATGGGCAGCCTTAGGTGCATGCAACAAGAATTCAGATGGGGGAG